ACTCCTGAAATATGGATTGCCTACCTCAAAGAAACATAAGACAAACTCAATTAAAATTTGCAGAGTAGAAATTGTCGTCAAAACTTGCAAATGAGAAAATCGATCCTTCTTATTCAAGCAATAATAATGAGTGTGTTTTACTCACGAGTTTTATTCATTTTTTAACTTAATTATGAGATGGATATTATGAGCAGTGAACGTTTTTAATGTATTTATTACTGTTATTTTGTAAAAGTTGTGAGACGACGCAAATCAGGGAAAGAAAAGAGATAAGGTCATGGGCATGGTAACAAAAAGGGCAAAATAGTAAAATTGAAATATCGAGAAAAGAAGAGTAGCGCCGAAGCACCACAAAGAAGAACATATCAAAGGAGGCGCCGCCAGAGACGCTGGGAATATATATATATATATATATTTTTTTGCTAACTTTTGAGCCCACAAGAAACCCTCTATTCATACAATCACGAGAATGAGTATAAAAGGGACATGACTTGGTACTTTCGAGGAGCTTACAAATGGAGAGAAAGAGAATACAACGAGAGATTGAATAACGCAGTTCAAGGGAGGAAAACATCAAGAAATTCACATTTTGAAGCATTGATTGGAAGGGGAAAAACATCTTGGTGTAAGCTTTATTTCCTTTTCTATATCTATATTCAAAATTCGATAATGTATTCAATAACAACTTCTTGTTTTTCTTTTTCATTTATTATTAGTAGCTAATATATATTATAGCGAACACTATAATCTACTTAGGACCCTCTATATCTTTTATTCAAGATTCTTGTGAGTTTATCAAATATGTGTTAATTTTGCTATGAATTTAATGCATTATATTATTTTATCACTAATTTAATAATTTTGGGAATATTTTACGAAGCGATAGGTGAGTTTAAGATTTGGAACATATAGTGAAATTCGGTATATTAGTATAATGTGTATGAATTCGTGAAACCAAAATTTCGTTTAATTAATGTAAATTCACATAAAAATATGTGATTAAATTAGTTAGATAGGTTCAATGAGAACTCGAGATTGGTAAATTGAATATCATAGAAGAATTCAATTGAATACTACATTGGGTTCTTGAATTTTGAATTAAGACTTAAAGGTGATCAACATGTGAAATTGTTTGTTCCTAATTTTTATCTATCATTTGAATTCTCACTCAACTATGTGTGGATTTTACTTAGCCTCTGTTTGGTACACATTATTATTTTTTATTCTCATTCTTCTACTTATTTTCAAGTACACATTCTTCAATAAAATAATATTTTCCATCACATCAATAATTTTTCCTTAAATTTTAACCACACATTTTCCATCAATCCACTATTCAATATTGCATTCTTTCAAAATAATGTGTCCCAAACACACTCTTAATTTCAATTGTTTAAATAAAAAAATCACAACAATACATAATTCTTTGTTTGCTTTCATCAAATAGGAGTTAGAAAAATCTAATTAAATTCTAAAGTATAATCCTCATGGGAACGATAATCCGGATTCAAATGTCAACTTTATTACTTGTTACGATATCGTATACTTGCGATAAAAAAAAAACTCAACAATTAACTCTAATATCTCAAATGGAAAATTGCCGTTATCTCATTCTGATGGTTTTAGTTTTGTTACGCCTCCTATGAAGAGGCTCAAGATTATCACCAATGTGGCGGCCAATTAAGAAAATCAACAAGGTTTGCACTCCATGTCACCTCCTACCTTGTCGAGGTGAGGCCATACAAGGTAGCCGAGGTGATGCATCATTTTCAATTAAGGTGCCATGTCAAGGCCGACCGTTAAGACTAAGTCGAACTGTCATGTATGCTATAAGGAAGAAGTGCGAAGCTCCAAGCCTTCACATTTATAAAAGGCATCTTCCTATTCACACCCTCATAAGAGATCTTTCGTACAAGATCCACATGTGGCTGACTGATGTGACAACTCCCTGCAGGAGCACATTAAGTTCAAATTGTCAGTCTACATATTGAAGGACAGACCCAAGCATAAGGATGGCTACTTTTCAGAGTCATTAAATATCTGTCATCCTAGGATTGATGGAGTGATACCTAAGAAAAGACCTCGACCGTCAAGATAAGGCCACTTATCACTTCATCCAATAATTATCATTTCTCCTCTACTACTATAAAATCTCACACATTGTGTCATTTGAAGATCATGCAAGTTTATGCTCTCAATATATAACTTTGCTCTTTTTATGCTCTCTATTACTCTTGAGTCTAAACCTCTTTTACTTAAAGTAGCTGGCATCTTTAGTGGGTCCTAGACCCAAATATATATTCTTACATAGACTGGTTTAATTGTTGGTGTGCTTGCGTTCATCTTCGCCACCACCGGAGATCGCCAATACACTCTGACAATTTGTCCAAGTGTACGGAAGGAGCTGTGTGAGCATTAGAGGAGCTTAGATCTGTTGGCTACGCCACCTGTACAAAAAGTGAGGTCAACAAGTGTTGGATATAAAATTTGTATCT